TACTACTACTACTACTGCTACTACTGCTACTTACTGCTAGCACTACTAGTACTACTAGTACTACTACTACTGCTACTACTACTACTACCACCACTATTATACTACTACTCCTACTACTACTTCTACTATAGCTACTACTGACACCAGTAACACTGTTGCGACTGCTACACTATGCATGTGACTAACTGCTTGCACCACTACGACGCCGACGACGACTAGTTGTGCTACGACTAATGTCACAGTTCCATTTGGCTGCATTTAATAACGTTCTCTTGATGAGACTCGTCCAGTGTGCTAGTCTAGGACTAGCTGTAGTAGAAGCAATGCTAAATTCGAATGCAGCAGCAAGCCGTAGGCACATCAGTGCTGCCAAAACCAAAATTTTATTGGTCTTAAGCAGCAGTCATGGACATGTGGTTTTCATCGGTGTTGAAAGCACCGTTATGAATAGAAGGAGTTTTTCCTTGAAGAGGGTTCCTCAGGATATTATCAGGCGCCGTATATACATGATGAACATCCTGCCGTGGTGAAAAGGACGGTGGTGGCAATGCTGAACATACATGCCCCGGCATGAGCGTATAACTTCATGTTCGCACATAGACTATCAGACTATCATCACTGGTGCTAGACCTGAGACCTGGTCTTAAGTTAAATTGGCATACCATCACGTGCGGAGTAAGTGTGCATGAAATTGTGCTGCACTGGTTAGTTCGACTTGACGGGTCTTAAGCTATTTTTAATGGCGAGTTGCTACTTCGTGCCCCTGTGTAGCGAAAGATTCATTTAGGAGTCGCAGTCGTGTAGCTTTCCGGTTTTACTCTTGTGGCTGAGGCTCGGGATCCAGTACATGGACGAGGCTGCCATGCGGGCTTCAGCAGCCTTGCAGAGGACGCATGGCCGCGACATCCTCGCAGCTTCCTACACGAAGATGATGCGGCTCATGTTCGTCATGCAATCTCTCTGCAAGAAGCTCGGGTCGGAGCCGAGTGGGCAGGCAGGCATGTTAATTTCAACCGTAGCAAGCAGGTCTGTGCTTCCGTTGAACGGGCTAAGACTTGCATGCTCTCTGGAGGTTCTGGCCTGGGTCTTTCTCTACACGAAGGTGTCGCTGTCGAGGAAGTGGATTTCGCAGTCGGCGTTGAGTGCTGATGCCTTCGGGGACAGCAGGAGCAACTCCACCTTTACCTGGGCGCAAGCTGCGATCGTCAAGTACCATGTCCTGCAGCAGGTGGCCTTCGTGGTGGACAACATCACGAAGGACGAGGACTTGCGTGCCGAGCTGCGCGGGATCCTCGAGACCTGCCTCGATGTCGAGTCGTTCGACAAGAAGTTCCTGCCCCCGGAGCCGAAGTCGACGAAGGAGTCGAATGTCGAGGTCGTCGTCGCCGATGCCGAGAACCAGAATCAGAATGACCAGGAGGCCAAGCCTGTGGAGAATGCCGAGGGCCAGCCTGCAGAATTTGACTTGGCGATGCACTACAAGACGCCCTGCGGCAAGGCCCTGTTGGAGTGGATGCTTGGCATGCTTTGTGGCGATGTGGAGAAGGACTTCCAGAGCATGTTCGCAGGAGCCAGCGATCTCAGCAAAGCCTTGAAGGAAGTGCTGGCAGTCGCAGTTGAGTCGACGAAGTCCTGCGGAGCTTGGGTTAAGCTCGTGCGTGGCTTCATGCACGAGCTGGAGGTTCGCCACGACGAGGCCGCAGTCGAGGTCGCAGTCGGGTCGGCGCCGAAGCCAATGCTGCGGCAATTGGTGCGTATGTCCTCCGACGAGGACCCGGCCGAGCGGCTCGGGAAAGCCCAAGCGGAACGCGACGCCCTGTGGACCAGCTGCACTACCCACAGGGCGAAATACCTCCGAATCCTGAGCGGCAAGGGGAAGTCGGCGTCGGAGTTGCAAGAAATGATCCAGTCGCTTGGCTTCTGCAGCTGACAAGCTGGGCAGGAGTTGAAGCAAGCTCCCGCTGCTTGCTGTGGTGGTTTAGGAATTAATAAGTTTTAAAGCCGGGTGGCGGCAGGAGCTGACCAAGCTCCCGCTGTGCGGTGGCAGGAGTTCCGGGTCGTGGCAGAAGCTGAACAAGCTCCCGCTTGTGTTTTCTGGTCGGGTATGGCTTGCCTTAGCCGTGCATTCATAAGGACGACGTCGCCCTTCAAGCTGTTCCAGCCGGCGGCAGGGTCGCATGTCGCGGTCTTGTGGGCGGCCGACCTAAGTGGCGAGGCCAAGGACCCATGGACCAACTTGTATGGGAAGGCATCGACATCATTGTCACAGGACGAGACCCAACGTTTGGAGCTCCTCCAGTTGCTGCGCCACAAGGATCACTTTGTGGTGATTGCCTTCGACGGGCGGTCGAAGTCGTGGAGACTCCACCTCGACTCCGTCATCCAGGGCACCGAGTCACTTGCTTGTCTTCCAAGTTTTTTTCATATGCGAAGTAGTGCCACCAATCCCCTAATTGAATGAGCCGTAAAGCCTAAGCCCTGAACTTTCAATCATCTTAAACCCTATTATAAGCGCAAGCCCAAGCCGCCGCAGGCTGTGGTTGACCTACATCGGCCGCCCGAATGAAGGATGCATCCCGAGTCGCCAGGTTGTGTTCGGTTCTGCGAACAAGGAGGTCGCCATGGTCTACACATCGTTCTCGAGGTCGACGGTCGCTGTCAAGAACCACGAGCAGATCGAAGACCTGTTGGAGGGCAGCAACTTCTATGCCACCATGTCTGGCCTGAAGTTCCCGCAGTGCCTGCCGAAGATGACGGCGACAACGAAAAGCGGAATTCTGGAGTCGTCGTCGTCGTCGTCGTCGCAGTCGCCTTGCCCGCCCAAGTGGCCGAGTGGCAGAGGAGTGCCGCTTTTTTGGCAGGAGTCGAAAAGCAAGCTTGTCTATGCCACGCTGTTCTCCCAGCTCGGCGTGAAGATGGTGGTCGATCTCGAGGTCGGGTCGGGCGCGGCAGCCACAGCCGCCTTAGACGCCGGCATATTCTACACCGGGATCGCCAAGAACGATGCACACGCGGGGTGGGTGACAAACATACTCGACCGCTATGCCTTGTCCCTGATGGTAAAGAAGGGCCACCGTCTCTACAACGAGACGCTGAAGGATGCCGTGCGCGAGCTCTTCGGCAACGCGTCTGGGTTTGCAGCCAGCAGAATGATTTTCTAGAACAGGTTCCTTGGAGGTTTTTTTGGGGGAGGCTAGAGTCAGAAGCAGCGGGCTTACAACACATAAAGCTGCCTGGTAAGGAAATCGACAAGGAGTTGTCGGAGTCGCCGGTCGAGCTCGAGGGCGAGAAGTGGTCCGACACAGCCATTCCGGACGCCGAGTGATCGATCCGATGTCGCAGTCGGCAATCCGATGTCGCAGTCGGCAACACAGCAATGCCGGACGGCGACGGGCAAAAATCGATCCGATGTCGCAGTCGGCAGGTTCTCAGCAGAGAAGGACATTCAATAGTGCTAGCCTGTAGGCTTGCCATGCTGGCTGAAGATAGATGTGAACCTGAACCGTAATCATGGGTGCCTGAACCTGCCGGGCGAAATTTTGAAGATGATGCGCTGCGGCCGCGTCATGTGGACTGACCTGACTTGCGAGGAGTGGAGCTCCTCAGTTGTGAAAATTGCATTGCCTGCCGCGGCAGCACAGATTGCCATTGGGAACATCTAGACTGGGGTCGTGCGTGCTGTTGTAATTCGGAGGTTCCTCGAAGTGAAGATTTTGATATGGTCCGTGGCCAAAGGCAGCCTCGGCAGGAGCTGAGCAAGCTCCCGCTGCTTCCGGTACAGCTTAGTCAGGATTCCGAAGTATAGCGGCAGGAGCTGACCAAGCTCCCGCCGCTTCGTGGTCGGGTATGGGGGCCGAGGTCCGGAACTTCGCAGTCGCAGTCCCGGTCCAAGTTCGCGACTTCCGGTGGTGGTGGCCAAAAAAAAAAAGATCCTTCATTAGTGGTACTCAGCAGCTAGCAGGAGCTTAGTAAGTAGTAGGAGCAGCAGTAGCAGTACTAGTAGTCGTCGTCGTAGTACGAGTGTTAGTACCTGTACTAGTCAGTACTACCTTTGATGATGCAAATCCTGCATTACATTTAAGGACCCTAAATTATGGAAATCATGGTATATTCCGTATTATGGATAATTTAATGCAGGATTTTTATCATCAACAGTAGTACTAATACTAGTACCCTGAAAACACCAACTTTAATCCCAAAACACCCTAAACCATAAACCCTAAACCTTAGTTCCAGTAGTAGGTTTAGTATGAGTGGTACCACTAGTGGTAGTGCTCGTAGTAATGAATGAGATCTCGCAGCCGCAGTAGTAGCGTTTGTAGTCGTAGTGACTAGCAGTTGGAGTAGCGGTAGCGGTAGCAGTCGCACTGGCAGTGGCAGTGGCACTGGCAGTAGCAGTGGCAGCAGCAGCAGCAGCAGCAGGAGCAGCAGCAGCAGCAGCAGCAGTAGAACTACTTAGTAGTACTAGTAGTCGTAGTAGTAGTAGTAGTAGTAGTAGCAGGAGTGCTAGTACTTGTACTGGTACTAAGGTTGATGACATAAGTCCTGCAGTATTTTAGGGACCCTAAGCTATGGGAATTATGGTATATTCCCTATTATTATTTTGTACTGCAGGATTTAGATCATCAACTAGTACCTGTACTTAAACTTGTAGCACTAGCACTGGCACTAGTAGTAGTAAGCTTTAGTGGTACCACTAGTGGTAGGGGTAGTAGTAGTAGTAGTAGTAGTAGTAGTAGTAGTAATAGTAGTAGTAGTAGTAGTCGTAGTAGTAGTAGTAGTAGTAGTAGTAGCAGTAGCAACAGGGGTGCAAGTGGGAGTCGCCCTGGTTAGTGGTAGTGGTCGTAGGAAGCGGTAGTACTGGTAGAAGAGCACCGGCAGCAGCAGGAATAACACAGTTGTTATCAAAATAGTAAAGTTAGCAGCAGCAGCAGCAGTAGTAGTAGTAGTAGTGTAGGTACAGTAGTGGCAGTAGTACTTCTTCCTTTCCTGCTTACCACTCGCCACATGCTTGTTACTTCACGACGACGACTACGACTACTGCTACTACTACTACTACTACTACTACGTGCTCTGGTTGCTACTTGCTGGCACTACCACTACCAACACGGCTGGCCGTAGCAGTACCAGTGCCAATATAAGTCAATACTGCTAGCATTACCGGTTACCACTACCTGGCACTATCACCACTACCCGTGCTACTGTCACTATCTCTTACACGAGTATTTCGACTATCACTGCTACTACTACTACTACTAATACTACTACTACTACTACTACTACTACTACTACTACTACTACTACTACTACTGAGAAATACTACTGCTACTACTACTACTACTATTACTGGTACTTTAAAATTTACTGGCACTACAACTTTAATTCATGATTGCTATTACTACTACCAGTCCGGCTACTTTCTGGTACTTTAGACGTGCTATTACAAGTACTACTTGCAAATCTTCGCCACGGTATTGACACAGCTAGCAGTTACATGTCCACTAACTAACAACAAACAAAAGCACCGCAATGAACCTCTTGACGGGTTTGGGGCTTTGGGCTGCGGGGTACCCAAGCAAGTTACTGCTGCTGCTACGACGACTACTACTAGATAAGATGAATACCGGTAGTACCGTTGCTACTCCTACAGCGACTACAACTACCGTTACCACTACTAGTACTACTAGTACTACTAGTACTACTAGTACTACTGCTAGTACTACTACTAGTACTACTACTACTACTGCTGCTGCTGCTACTACTACCACTACTACTACCATTGCAAGTGCCCCTAGTAGTACCACACTTAATCTAATAATATCCATCCTATTGCTACTAATACTACTACAACTACTGCTTTCTGCCCTACAGTACTAGTACTTAAAACTACTTGTACTTGTACTAGTAGAAGCACTACTACTACTACTACTACTATCACTACTACTACTGCTACTATTATTATTACTACTACTACTACTACTACTAGTCTTTTCTTTTCTTTTTCCTGCCCTATTCCTGCCCTTCTCCAATTCCCACTGTTACTCTCATTCCTGCACTTAGTATAATTAATACCACTACTACGCATCCATCTACTCCAGCATGCCATTTCATCTGCTACCACAGGATCCTACTGCTGCTAATCCTGCTGCTAAATTAAATGTAAATGCGAAATACTTGTCATTCTTAATATTAACGACGCCTATAGCAACAGCAAGAACTACCAGTACTGCTACACATTAATATTATGCCTACTACAACTACCGCTACCACAACTACTGATACTGGCAATAGTACCACTACTACCTGTATTACCAGCGCTCGTAGCAGTACAAGTAGAAGTAGAAATCGTAGTCGGCGTGCTACTCGTCCTACTACTACTACTAGTACTACAACTATTACATTTATTACTGCTACTACGACTACTACTACTACTACTACCACTGCTAGTATTACGACTACTGCTACTACGACTACTACTACTACTACTACTACTACTACTACCACTTCTACTATTACGACTCCTGCTGGTACTACTGCTATGGCGGCTAGTACTTAACGATTTCGATTGCTACGACTGCTAGCAACTAGTACTGTACTACTAGGTTCCAGTCCTCTTACTTTATACAAGTCCGACTACTACTACCACTAGAACCACTACTCCAACCACTACTACGACTAGTAATACTAGTACTACCACTACTGCTACTACTGCTACTACTGCTACTACTACTACTACTACTAGTACTACTATTGGCAGCAGCAGTAGTGGTCCTCGTTCTTGCTGTAGCTTTCAAAGTTGTTGGTAGTTGTAGATGTTGCAGCAGTAGCAGTAACAGTTGTAGAGGCAGTGGGTACTACTCGTACTCGTGTTTATACTCGTACTAGTAGTAACAGTACCAGCAGTAGTAGTAGGAGCAGAAGGTTAGTAGTGCTAGTGGTCAGTAGTAGTAGTAGTAGTAGTAGTAGCAGTAGTAGTAGTAGTAGTAGTAGTAGTCGTAGTAGTAGTAGTAGTAGAAGTAGCAGTAGTAGTGGTAGTGGTAGCAGCAGTACGGGTGTAGCAGTAGTACTATTATTATTATTATTAGTAGTAGTAGTAGTTGTAGTTGTAGTAGTAGTAGTAGTAGTAGCTATCAGTAGTAGTAGCAATAGCAATAGTACTGCTACCACTACCTGTGTTCTGCTACAACCCCACTACTACTTGTATTTTTTCGCTACTAGTAATTACTTACTTACTACCACTCCTACTACTACTACTACTACGACTACTACTACTTCTACTACTTCTCGTACTACAACTACAACTACGACGACCACCACTACTACTACGACTACTACTACTGCTACTACTACTGCTACTACTACTACTACTACTACGAATACCAGTATTTTGTCGTAGTTATAGCCTTGCCAGCTGTCGAGCTGCTATTAGTTGTAGCAGTAGCAGTAGCAGTGTTTGCTCTAGGAGTAGTAGTCGTCGTTGTACTAGTAGCAGCACTCCTACCTAGTTGAAGTACTACTACTGCTACCACCGCGGCTACTGCTACTGCTGCTGCTTGCTGCTAACACGGCGACATACTATGTTACGACTACTACTACTGCTACTACCACTACTCCTATTACTACTAGCCCTACTCCTTCTCCTACTACTAGCACTACCACTACCACTACCACTACCACTACCACTACCACTACTACTACTACTACTACTACTACTACTACTACTACTACTACTACTACTACTACTACTACTAGTATTACGACTACTACACTGTACTACTACTGATACTACTACTGACTACTTCTGCTACTGCTACCGCCACAGTTCCTGCTGCTCCTACTACCACTACTCCTACTACTCCTACTACTACTACTACTACCACTACTACTAGTGCCACTGCTACGGCTACTGCTACTGCTGCTGCTACTGTTACTACTCATACTACCACTACTACTACTACTACTACCACTACTACTACTACTACTACTACTACTACTACTACTACTACTACTACTACTACTACTAGTACTACTAGGACTACTACCACTACGACGACTACTACTACTACTATCACCACTACCACTACCACTACCACCACTACCACTACAACTATTACTACTACTACTACTAGTACTAGTACTAGTACTAGTAATAGTAATAGTGCCACTACTCGTACTCCAACTACTAGTACTACTAGTACTACTAGTACTACTAGTACTACTAGTACTACTAGTACTACTAGTATGACTTATGACTAGTACGACTAGTAGTACTAGTACTCTTAGTGTACTACTAGTACTACTAGTACTACTACTCTACTACTATAT